GATGGCTGACAGGGCAATACTAGATTGTGATCATTTGTGTCATCACTACAGAGATATTGGGGATCTACATTTACAGGTGTCAACTGTCCCTCAGTTTTCTAAAAACCTTTAAAATGTCAAATCTACATTCCTATATGTATATGAACTCTTCAAGTAATAATAAATTACATTTATATACAGTAGTACCATTGATCCCAAATGATCCTAAAGCACCTATTACTGAAGGAGAGAATCCACCTGGGTGATGTGAGGCAGGTATTCAACTCCAACAGTCTCACAAAACAGCATATCAGATACAGTAGATAAGCGAGAAACTGCTTCATCAGTAGAATCAAGACAGAACACTAGGAAGGACAGATTGTGCACTGCCACTGCATGCCACAGCAATTTTATCACTTGGCAGTCAAGATTTCAGGTCAACGTCTCATCTGAAGAAAGCTCCTGTATCCCAGTTCACAAGTTTAAGGGAAGTGGTTTGGAACTCCAGAGCATAGTTACAAATATTAACTTGAAGAGACAGATGCAGAGCCGAAACTAAACTGAAACTTTAAATTAAAAAATAGGCTATCATAAAATACAATTTTTAAAAAATCATTTGCTATGAAGAAAAAAATGTCTACTTTGTTCTGTGTCAGTTTAACTTGAATCCAAAGGTTAAGAAAATTGCATGCTTACTGAATTATCCAACTCATATATAGTAATTAAATTGCATTCCTTGGCCAATAACTGTTTAAAATAGACATGCTTTTGAGGTTTTATGACTCTTACTAAAAAGATGAAGTTTCCTTTACATTTCTTGGGTCATTCATGTGTTTATAATTTGAAGTGACTGATGTCTCCGTGTGTGCAAAAGGTTACTTTTTAATTTCAACAATCCCATTAACATTACTATGTTAATTTCTGGAGACTGCACAGCATGTGAAGACACCGATAAAGGAATTTAAAAAGACTAAATGAAAAAAATCTATTTTAAACAGGCTAGTTATTGATCATACAGCAGTATTAATCTTAGTTTAAATTCATTCTATCATTTTGTGGGTTAAAACAAAAATTGTTTGGATAGCATACTTAAGGGAAAGATAGCACAAGATCCTCTGTCTTTACCGACATGTTTACCACAGTTTTAGAAGCAATACTGCAGGAAAATTGACTTTAAGGGAACTTGCATAGTACTATCTGCTCAGATATACAGATATACAATGAATTACACTGCATCTGCAAATGGCTTACCAACTTATAAACTTAACTTATTTTTGTGATAACAGTAGTATGCTGAAAGGCTAAGAAAGCATGTTAAATAACATGCTTTAGTCCCAAGAAGATGATAAAATACATATTTATGTCCATAACTGTAATATTACAAAACTATTACATTTACGTGTTATTTTTTTAAAAAGTATTTTAGAATATAAATACTTTCATTTATGAAGTTTCATAAAAATTCCTAAAAGATTCTTATGAAGTTGTATGAAACTCAATCAAATGTACTTATGGACAGAAATGAAGGTTGAGAGGAATATACCAGAGTGATGAAATAGTCTCTGAATTAACCAATGTTTTAACATACTGGCATTAATTATTGTTTCCATGAGCTAACATTCAGTGTACTTAAAATGTTTACATGATAAGCCACTTCAGATTGAAGCTGCAGAGGAGTTGTCTGGTGATTCATGCAAACCAATAAATGTTAAGCAACATTAACAAAAAAAAATCACTGTTTAATGATCATTTTCTAAACGACTAAATTTGAAAGAAATGTCCCTTCAGACAGCCTATTGGAGCGGATGCAGTAGAAAAAGTCTCATGCCCCCCCCACCCATAACCCTCCAAAGTCCAATCTATCCAACCTTACCCCTTCAGAAAATAGTTTTCACTAACCCTCTTTGACTAAATACCCAGTAGTTTGGGTCTTTTGAAGAAAAAAAAAACTGAGAGGGACAAGGCAGATGTCCAAGGAAGCTTCCACACAAAGGAGAAAGGGTGGGGAAAAAATTCCCCTCGTCTTTAATAACAAATCCCTCCAAAACAAGTGATTGATATGATCCTCACATAGCTGCCTCGGCTTTGAGACAACACTCCACCCCCCAACCCTTCCAGCTTTCTCTTTCTCAGCACCCCCCCTTTTCTCCCTTTCCCCTTTCCAAAAGACCACCCTCCCCTGTGGGAACCACGCTCTCAGAAACTAACCCCCCGAGACCCCCTTGGGTTCTATTGAGTGAGAAGCTCTTCTCTGATCTCTCTCGGCTTTGTGCGACTGGCTTGACAGGTCCAGAGCAAACAAACAAAATGAATACTAACATGCCTTTGTGTCCACTCCGATGAGGAGTACTTAAAAAGTGGGGTGAGGTGGGGGGGGGGAATGGGACTCACACAGCATGCCGCCTAGGAGTCTGATCCCCTCGCAGTTCGCAGCCCCCACCCCCAGTCTCAGCATCTATTCCCACAACTGCTCCCAAGAATAAAGACTCCCATTCATTCCCCAGTTAGAAACATAGGATTATGGGAGCAGGGGATCCTCTCAAGGTGTGGCAGGACTGATGCTCTGTTTTGCACTGAGCCCCACATTAAAACTGCTCTGTCAAGGTAGTGTGAAGAGTGAATGGTATTGGACTATTACAAATAACCTCTTGGGACAAATCCCAGACAGTCCTATATACCCACTTTCCAAGTGTTCTATTACTTTATTCAAACCTCCACTACAGTTGCTGGTTCCTGTGGTACACCATAGTACCAGGGGGGAAGTTGAGGTAAAATACTTCAATTAAAACACATCATTCAAAAGAAAAGTATATCCTGTCAAATAAATCACTCACCATGTACGTGCACAAAATCTGCCCACACATTTAAGTATCCAAAGACACTTCGAAAAGAAAACCCTTTTAAAGCTTATGAGAACTTTATTAAATATAGAAAAATAGGAAACAATGTTGACAGTGAACAGTGAACAGGTTGTTTGCTTCATCCAAGAATCATTGTTGCTTGATTTTAGGAGGGTTTTAGGAGACTTGAAAGGATACCAAGAATAGAGACCATCTGTTATTTCAATGTATTACAAGACAATCATTTAGTTGCACATGCACAACCACTGTAAATTTTGATGCATGGACACACACACACACCAACGTTAACCAATATCAAGGTGGCAAAAGTCAGATCTCTACTGTGTCCCTATTTTGGCTAATTAAGATAGACTCTACGTTTTAAAGTACTGAGTAAATCCATCCCTTGTTATACAGGAAATACATTATTGAAGACTAAGTTGCAGGACTAGGTTTTACTCTTTGCAGTTTATTTTGATAACATTAAAAAATCTTTGAAGAAAAGAATAGAGCAGCAAGGAAAATGGAAACACTGAATTATGCAAGAATCAGAATCAGTATCTTTATGATGGGAAGACATCACATCAGAGTCATTAATAAGATCATTAGAATAGGTTATTAAGAAAACTGCGCTGATTTTACAGATTTAAGCTTTACAATAAAGGGAGCATAAAATCACACATAAGATTTCAAAGGGTTTGCAGGGTATTACAAACAATACACTTTTGTAATTGCTTCCATTACCTAAACACTTGCAAACACAATGTATATTTTTCTGTCTAATGTTACATTTTCATTAAATTGCCTCAATTCAGTTGTGATTATACCCTTTGGCTGTACTACTTGATTGTACCTTTTTGTTTCCAATACATCTATTTACTAATTGCCTCACACAGCTGCCTGAAAGAGTCTTATCTTTCACCTGTCATTTGACAGCTGCAGTTATGCAGCCAGCAAACCAATAAAGTCAAACACATCATTTAGCATTCTTCAATAAACTAACTCTGAAAATATGGGCTAGTACACTCTCTTTAAAGTATTTCATAAAACAGTTACTTTAGATATGTGTTCAAGAGTACAACTATGAGTTATTTGAATCCATAGAAATACCACCAAGGCAAATCAAACAAAGAGGCAAATTAAAAGTATTGGGTCAGACCTCAAGAAAACCAAGGCTATTTCCTGCAAGGTGCAGTATTTAGTGCTCTTTAGATAATTAAAAACTTTTGAGATTAATTTATTTTCTTAGAAGAATTTTATTAGAATTTCTCAATTTTAAACAGTGGTTATTTAAAATTTTAATTGCACCTCAAAGTGTTGAAACATTATTTTTTTCCCTACCTCTTTAAATTATTAGTCATTTCTGCTCTATATTTGTAGTGAGCTGTATCCCAGAGTTTTCAGCTCAAGAAACATTTTTTCTGACTTACAGGAAAACGAAAACTTTCCGGCAATTTAAAGAGGTCTGGTCTTTCTGACATTACAGAAAAGGAAACGTTTTAAAGGTTCAGGGTTATTCCTGTCAGTGAAAATGCTTGAGGCACTGTAATTGTGGGCATAAAAAAAATGCAACAAAGTAAAAAAAAAACAAATCAGTTCCTGCAAGGCATACAGTCTGACTGCAATAGCACTACAGGAAGAAATGTTCTGCCAATTAGTTTATGAATTAATAAGATTGGTTTTCTTAATATTCTTCAATACAAAAGTAGAAAATATATTTTTTGTAAATGCAGATTATTCACAATGTAGTCCTCTTCAACAGAAATTGTACTTATACTTATTAACTTTTTAAAATATCTGTACTACTGACCTTAGTTCTTTAATTCTTCACTTGCAAAATATACTATATACTGTACTGTATACACAAACTTTGAAAGTGACAAAACCTTTTATGCAATACAATTATCAAGAATATAAAAACCTAGAAAATCATTTTCAAGTCTTTTGTTTTTTTCTCAGAAGGGAAAAACAAGAAAATAAATCATCCATTTTATATACCTTAATAGAAAATGCAAGTTATTCCAACTAAAATTTCACTGAGGTTGATGATTTGTAGACTAACAAATATTTCTTACAATACTCCATCATGTAAGATTATGAAACTGAAATCTCAGTGTGTTTTGCCTGATTACAGGCAGATCCTGCCAGGATTGCTGAGAGGAATTTTGGGAAATCTCTTACCTTCCTGGATGAGTCACCTCTGACATTCTTTGTGAACTGCAAAGCAATTTAAAAAAAAAAGTCAACATTTGCTGTGGTTTGCAATAAGTTGCTAAGTGACCTAACCTCACCTGTTCAATTTATCACTAATGGTGCATAAACACAGAGAGAGATAAGACTCCATGGAAAAAGTGAATGTGTCCAAGGAAAAAAAAAAGAATCTTCCAGCAAGCTTGTCCTTAACTTAACAGAGGGAAACTTCACAATGTCATTGCCCATTTTTGGACAGGTTATGTTTTTAAAATGCATTTATTCCTTCACCCTCCCCAAGTGCTCAGATCAGTAATGTCAACAAAAATTAAACGTGGATTATGATCTTACAGTATAAGACTCGTCTGCATGCAGAGTTTGAGGTTAGCCACTCTGTTCATGTACACATGGTTGAATTGTACAAACAGAAATGCCAACACTCAATCGTATGGCATTCATACAACATAACCTTAAGAGGTTTAACTACTTTGATCACATAACATGTTAAATAGTTCTCCCCTGTTATTTATATAATGCCCCCTGTAAAGTGTGGCAATTCACCCTAGCTAACTGTACCACGTTATGTACTGCCAGAATGCGAGGTTAAAGAAGTCTGAAATTTCTGCAAATATGCAAAATGACCTTGATTTTCAGGAACACTGTTCCAATAATTCGGAACGGATTTTTGTGGAATGTTTAGCTGTTCAGAAAACATATGAGAAACTGCCCATTTAGTAGAAGCTGTCTCTTTTCTCCCCTTTAGTTCTGTCAAAATTAGTTGGAAGAAAATCGGTTGCTATAGAAACCATCTTTCCATGACTGCAAAGGAGAAAACTCATGTGCATGGAGTAAGTGTGAAATCTCATGAACTGCACCTCATATCAGGAATAAGGAAATATCTGGAATATCTCAATGAAAGCCTTAAATGAATCTGTTTTAAGTAGAACATGTTATATTCTAGAAAAAAAACTGTGCTGCCTTGATTTCTTAAAAAATATATATAAGTTGCTTGACTGGGTAAAAGAAAAAATATTAAAAACTAACCATTTAATTTCTGTTCTCTTGACTTCAGCACTGAAACAAACTACAATCAACTGTAAAAACAGGGCAAAGATTACACTTCTACAGAAAAGAGGTACTATTCATCTATTGTATATATTTACCAGCTTCTGACCACAGACCCCTGCCAATTGAGGAACCTCTGTAATCTTGTAGACAAGTGTGGTGAAAACATGCCAGATTACATTAACGAGTATTACAGAAAGTAAAAGGTTCTGTAACAGCAACTCCTATAATGTACCAAGATTTCCCCAGAATCTCTGCAAATAAGCAAACAGTCAACAGTGTTTGGATCCATTGTTTTGACAGACTTGTGACTGATTTTAGCTGATGGATACCCAACTGAATTTAAAAGCTACTTTCATGTCAATGTGTGAGACATTTTCTTCATTTATAATATAGCTTGTGAAAAGTACAGCACCCTGTGTAAAACAACAGGAGACATTAAATATTAAAAAGAACAATGAACCCATGGGTTTCTGATGTGAAGCGTAAAGAACTCCCACCAAACTCAACCGAATATCAGGAAAGAACATGTCACTTTGTCTGAACATCTTGTCCTAGGGATAAACTGTGCCTGGAGTTTGTTACCTCACTGCTTATATTTAGCTCCTGACGCAGCTGAAGTCAATATTAGTCAGTCAATAAAATTGCTCCAAGCTACAGAGATGGCTTGGCGTGGGATACAGTGCTGTGTTTTACAAGGAAAAAGAAACCCAAGCAGGAAAGAAAGGAAGGCAGAAGGGTACAAGAGGAAAATCAATCTTTCATACTAGTTTGATATTCTTTTAAAATTGTTTGTACTTTGTACATCCCTTTATGATACTTTACCTGATTTATTTTAAAACCTTTTTCTCCTTGATTTTTTCAAAATTAGCAGGATAGCTCTCCCTATACTTTTCACATCAAACATTTGTTAGCTATATGCAAATAATCATGTTCAGACCAACATTTCTTTTAAAGGCACAAAACACGAAAGAACAGTTACTAACAAGATATGCCTCTCATGAAGTTAGTTAAAAATGATAAATCCTATAATCCTTTAAAAAAGTAAAACCATTATGCAAAAACATAGGACTTTCCTTATTGTAATATGCTGACATAAAATCCTTCTGCTATTCAACATAATGGGGGATGACACAGTATCAGTGCTCTGCTGTGTTATGGGACATGAACAGCCTCCTTCTTGCCATTATGACAATATGGTCATATGTAAACACATTTAGAGGGCTCTCTCTTAAACTTTAACTGAAAGAATGCAGAGAGCCACTGGAGGATGGCTTAAACTAATAAAAGGGAACCCTTGGTTTCCCCCCTTAGTAACTAAACAATAGTGCCTTTGTGCGGCAGTGCACTTAGCTCAAAAATAGCTGGTTTTACTCTTCCTTGATATTGATCTTAGACTCCAGAGTACTTAGGAGAGCAGGGTCATAGAAATCACCTGCATATCATCTCAAAGGATGTCAGTATAACAGGGCTGTTGGCACTGAACAATTAATATTAAGCGCTAAACAAAACTTGAACGTTTTAAGACCCTTCTATGCCGAGACAGAGTGAACCAGAAATCACAGGTTTGTTGTTGTTTTTGGGATTAAATATTGATCTTTCAGATTATTAACAGAATTTGTCTTAAACAACCGGTCAAGCCTTACGGAAGGTAACTTTTATTGTACTCTCAACTTATGTATTCAAAAATAACACTTGTCAAGCTGGATACAGCACTAAAAAGTTCTTATATCCTTCATGTTCATGGTGGGACAGAAAATAAAGTAAAGTCAAACAGTCACTGTTTGTATTTAGATAAATTCAGAGAAGATTACAATGAAATCCAAACAAAGCAGGAATCCAGAACATCCACACCATGTAGACTTTTGTGACATTATACGTTTTCAACATGATGCTCGAATTTCATTTTTATCGCACCTCACCTACTGTAGTTTCATTTTAGCAGAGAAAGTATTTCAGTTTCTGCTGTCTGCCATACTTCATCTGTTTAACTAAAACATTTTAGTAAAACTGGCATTTTCAGTAAAAAGAGAGCCACAACCATAACTGATCCCACACTATAATGGTCACATTATAACAGGGTAGTGCTGTATGAGACAAAAATCATTAATAGTCTGAGTTGTAAAAGAGCAGAGCTAGGACAGAAAACCCCCTTCAGCAGTAAAACATATTTTTGTGTAGGATTTTGTATAAAAAAAGTGGCAATACCAAAAATCATATATGCCTTGATACTCACTAAAAATATATTTTGCTGTCACTGAACATTCCACAGCTGTTGTCTACAAGTACTATGTACTGACAGTATGTTTATTTTAAAGGAATAAATATGAAAAGGCGAATATGTTTGATCACATTTAAACAAAGACTTCCTTAAAAAAACGACTCTGGTGATGGTACTGAAATGATTCGCACTCTCCTTTTCGGTTTCTGAATTTAACTGGCAGCTTTTGTTTTCACCTGGGCACATGACAGGTCCCCCTCCCCTCCACAGAAGGGGCAGCTCTGCATTCACCACAGTGTGGGTGAAAGGTCACGGCAAAAAAGCATTCCACAAAGTCTGTGGCACTCACACTGCAGTGTAAAAGGTTTCAGTCTCTCTAATCCTGCCAGCAATTCAAGGATTTGCAAGGACAGTCTGAGCCGGTCCCTTGCGAAATCGTTCAGATAACAGAACATTTATTTCTGTGTGTGGTCAGAGAGAACAGCCAGTCAGTGAGGCTCTTTCAAAAATTCCACCACTGATTCAAATTTTTGGCTATACAGTATTTATTTCCCTCCAAAACTTATACTTTTAGACTGTTTATATAAGCACTTTCTTTATATAACAGCTATAAATTGTTGATCAGCAGTGTTATATTAACTCCTGAGGAAACACTGAGCGTGTGGAAACCAGGCCAATCTTATCATTTTCCACTTTGCTCAAGTTAAAGTACATTTTAGACACATTTGCAGATCTACAATATTGGCTGTACTTTCCATCAGAACACTTATTTATGTATCCACATATATGCTATCTTACGTTTTGTTTAATTGTTTTTGTTGTAACAAATTTACACACACGGGAAGAGACCTTTATGATAGTTTCACCAACCATGAAAATGTTCAAGCAAAAAAAGTTGCCCCCTGGGGTTGTTTTGGAAAAGTTTCAAACACTTCAAAACTGATGTCTACACCCCAGCATGCCAAAATTCAGACACCTTTGGTGTTGCACAAGTGTGTATACTAATGAATGTGTCAGGTTCCAAATACCTTTCAAAACAATCAAATTAGGCTGCATTAAACAAGAAAATGGGTTTTATGCTAGAAAGCTGCCAAACAAGACAGTTTCAGTTTTAAAGGCATCCAACTTTGCAGATTCCTTGTTCTTTTAACTCTTTCAATGTAAAAGCCACAAACATGAATGTGATGAAAGATCCTTTTAATAGTCATTTGTAACAGTCATACAGAAAACTGCCGGTTGCTACCTTTTACAGATGAGAGAGGAGTGGGTTTTCCCTCAGCCTGAGCACCCACATGGTGTACTTTACGTATCAGTTGGCACTTACAAGTTGGAAAAGACCTTTTTTTTTTACAGAGTGTATCCACATCTGTAGCTCATATCTCTACTCTGCTTGCTTATTCACAGACTCCATTCACAGAAAGTGTCTCTCACAAACTTGACACCAGCAGAGCTACAACTATTTTTTTTCCCACAGACATCCCTTACAAGCAAAATTTTGTACATACACCGTAGCAGTTATTATGTGAAAATGACTGCAGCAATTCACAACGGCGTATACAGCACCTCTAACCAAGAATCTCAAGTTATTGAGGTGTAAAATGCAGAACTGCAAAAGCTTTGACACATCTCTACTACTGCTTTTTAGAAACCCAGAAAACATTATACTGCTGATGAAAGGCAAAGGTTATACATGTTTAATTTAAAAATAAAACAAGCTCCGACAAAACAAGAGAGTACTCCT